AAACAGAGATATTAAGATAAACTTTAAGTTTTGGACACTTGCAACCCTTTTAGAGCACACGGGACACTATTTCAATCCCTTAAAGGGGAAATAGTCCTTCCCGGTGTTACGGTTTAAAGAGTAACCGTGTTAACTGGTGACTTTGAGCTGAATGCAGCTGTGCTTGATGTATGGAAACTGTCCTAACAGGTGACTCTTTGTTTTGCTTTTTATTAAAGATATTGCTATTAAGTATTTTTAATATTATAATGTTAAAAAAAAACCTGAACAAAGGGTGATTTGTTGGGACACTTTCAGTCCAATTTGTCTGAAAGTTCGTCAGTAAACATGCTCACTCTTTAAACCATAACACCAGAATGTTACTTCAGTCATTTTTGCTTAAATAAGTGGAGAATACTTCCCCTTTCACTGCTGTAGGATGAAAGTCTACAAAGGTAAAAACAGCTTTCTAAGATCCAAGCAGCGGTGAGTGCTAATTAGCGCACATTAGCTTGTTACCTATTCGTATCAGGATCCCCTGACCTGCCCCAGAACACTTTCAGACAGTGTTCTGGGGCAGTCATTTTTGTTAAAGGCAGTTATATTTGGATGAAGTTAACACATTATTTGACACCAGGATTTGGAGAAGATCGTTCTTTTGTTTCCCTCACGGGTACAGCGGTGCGTCCAACAGCAGTAGTCCACAATCTCCTCCTCTCTTTGTGTTTTCTTTAAATGATTACATTCTGTAGAAGTAGAAACCTGGTTTGTCTCCTCGTCGATTAGTGCATCACATCAACGACGACTGTCTTTCATTTGAAAAAATGTAAGGTAAAACTGACAGAAACGCACGTAGTAACACATGGATGACATCTCTGTAGTGTTCAGCGGTAGGAAGCCTTTCTAGCCTACCAGGTGGCGGCTTTCTAAAGTGTGTGACGTCACATTAAAGCTATGAATAGCAAACTCTGCAAAATCTCCTCAGTGCTTTTTCCAGATCACTCTTCTTTTTATCCACCTTGAAATCATCTGACCCTTTGATCATTAAAAAACACATCATATGGAAATATTCAAATGGTATCTTTTATTTTTACTGCTGTTTTGACAATGTCCTGCCTTTGTTTTGTTTTTTTAACATTAGGGCTATGGCACCCACCTGATGAACCACCTGAAGGAGTATCACATCAAACACAACATCCTCTATTTCCTCACGTACGCTGACGAGTACGCCATCGGCTACTTCAAGAAGCAGGTACCTCAGCCGTTGACCGCACATTAGTTCTGCCCCAGTTCTCCCCCTTCCGTCTCGCCCTCTCAGTAGTTCGTTCTCTCCTCGCAGGGCTTTTCTAAAGACATCAAAGTGCCGAAGAGTCGATACCTAGGATACATCAAAGACTACGAGGGAGCGACTCTCATGGAGTGCGAGCTGAACCCCAGAATCCCTTACACCGAGCTCTCTCATATCATCAAGAGACAGAAGGAGGTATGTGAGGCTCAGGTGTCATCGCATTAAAGTCTAAACGGACTCTGCTGTGAATCTGTGTGTGTTATTTATGAATCCTGTTGTTACAACAGATCATTAAGAAGCTGATCGAGAGGAAGCAGAGCCAGATCAGGAAGGTTTACCCAGGTCTCACCTGCTTCAAAGAGGGGGTGCGACAGATCCCAGTGGAGAGCATCCCAGGCATAAGTCAGTGTTCGATTTGTGTACAATGAGGGGGAAAAAAAGATACAAGTTGAATTCATCACATTACTCATGTCTTTTTTCTTCCAGGAGAGACAGGCTGGAAACCCAGTAACAAGGACAAAGGGTAACCCTTCAGCATGTTTGTTAATGCTTGTGTGCTGCTGAGGTGTATGTAGTTAATATTTCACTTCCTATCTTCCACATATTTTGTAGGAAAGAGGTGAAGGATCCTGATGTGTTGTACAACATGTTGAAGAACCTGCTGGCCCAGATAAAGGTAAAGGGCACCTGTTCAAACACACACACACACACCCACACATACCGCAGGAGTAAAAATAAAACACTCACCGGGACTTTTTAATCACCAGACTCATCCTGACGCGTGGCCCTTCATGGAACCAGTGAAAAAATCAGAGGCTCCAGATTACTACGAGATCATCCGCTTTCCCATCGGTGGGCAAGCATCTGTTTGATTAAACTGCAGCTTCCCCTCTTCCTCACTAAGTTATAACAGATCTAAATCTCCTCTCCTGTCCCCCCCCACAGACCTGAAGACCATGACAGAGCGACTGAAGAACAGATACTATGTGACCAAGAAGCTTTTCATTGCCGACCTGCAGCGGATCATCAGCAACTGTCGCGAGTACAACCCGCCAGACAGCGAGTACTGCAAGTGTGCCAACACCTTGGAGAAGTTCTTCTACTTCAAATTAAAAGATGGAGGCTTGATTGAGAAATAGACTTTTCTACAGAATTATTTAACAGACGAAAGCATGACTTTGACAGACGCGGCAAAGACACTGAGACGGAGCAGATCATGAGGAAGACATTGCCACATCTGAGATAATAAAAGGGTATGCACTCCAGTGACACATTGTACAGAGGAATTGTTGGACTTGAACAAATATAACATAAGAGTGTTTGGAATTATCAGAGCCAGTTAAGTTACAAAGTGTCTAAATGGCATTACCTTTCTCAAGGTTATCTTCAATCTTTATTTTCCGGTTCTCACAGCGAGTTCATAATCTCCATATACATGTTAGAGGTTCATGAAGTGTACCAAAGTTATAGGTCCAAGTCATAACAATGCCACACTTCCCACGGTTATTGAAAGTGACCTGTTCTTTTTTTTTTTTTTTTGTGTGTGTGTGTGTGTGTCACATTTATTGTCGTTTGTTCATTCCAAGTTACTTTACGACTTGTCACTCAAACAGATGTTTATGTAGTGTAGAGTTGTCATAGAAACTGGACCTCGGGACCTAAAGCCACGTTGCCTTCTGTTACTGACAAACACTTGAACATATCCCAGCCATCTTCAAGGGTTTTATGGAAGACAAGATACTCAAAAATGTTCGGTATTTTTGAAAAGATTCCATTAGTTTTTAAGTTCAAAAGAAAGTAAAACAAATGTGAATGAGGTGAAAATACTGAGTGTTCTCACCTCATGAGACATTTTTTTATTTCATTTACCTTTAAATATACTTTATTCTCTTGTACTTTTTGGTCTGAAAAAAAGAAGGAATTCATGATTTAGGCTTCAGGACAATTATTTCCAACATTCTTCTTTGTTTAGTAATTATCCAAAGTGAAGCATCACAGATGATCTGATGACAGCTTCACAACTGGACTAGTTTGAGACACTGATTGTGATGGACTGGGCATTTATTTATTTTTTTTAAGCACTTTTGTGCTAAACAAAATAATTTCCCCGATCGTTGCCTTCAAGAAAACAGTGTTGTTTTGAGCTGAGGACAACAGAACATATACTTTCTTCATACATGAAACATACTGCTCATACACCTGGTTTTATTCCAAACCATTTACAATGAGGTCACACAGTAGTGTAGCTGTTACTGTGTTGCAGGTCATACTGTATTTGTTAGCATAGATGTGTTCTGTAGTACGGTCACTTCCACAGCTGCATATTTGTCACCGGTCATTTGGATAGTTTGTGTTGATGAGACCAGCATCTGTAGAAGTGTGATCACTCTGGTTTATTGAAACTACCCCCACACAGTAAGTGGACATTAATGCATGGCAAGCCGTTTACAGATCTAAACAACTTTCAACATTTAGCTGCTGTGTTTCTCAGAGTGTTACAAACATTGTAATGAAAGCATCTTTGTTCAGCAGTGTGTGTCAAAAGGAGTGCGTCCTGAGACACATCCACTTCTAATATGGGAAGAAGCGGTCCCATGCTGGTTGAGCCTGCTTGTTGAATGTTCCATTGACTTTTTGTACGTTTGGTAGCGTGTGTGTGTGTGAGTGTGTTTATTTTGTACTTGAATCATGACTAGCTTTGAATCAATGAAGTGATGTCAATGTTGCATTATTCAGGGTTGTCAATAGCATACTTGTCCCTCAATCTATCTATGCTGCATTTCAGATTTTCTAAAAAACAAAAAAAAAGGTAAGTGTGAGTGAACTTTCACCCTGTTGGAGGGCGGCTACTGTCTCTAGTTATGAATGCCATTTACTGTAACTGTAATACTATTCATGACAATAAAGGTTTTTTTTTTATAAACAGTTGTGAGGATACATCAGTTATTATTCCTGAGAGGTGTGAACTGGAGTCACTGACTTGGAAACTGCTCAGTCATCAATAGAGAGTTGGGGATTTCCGACTCAAGAAAAAAAGAAAGAAACTTGCTTGACGACTTGTCACATGAATATTTTCACAACAGAACTTGAAACCGGGAAGTTATCACACACTAACCAGCAAATAAGTTAAAGTTTCAGCCCTACTTTTTGGCCTTTATTAGTTGTTAAATGTGGTCAGTTGAAGAAAAATAACTGGTGAGTGATAATAGGCACCGAAGTTTTTTATTTTTTCATGCCATAGTGTGTTTGCATAAACTGTTCATTATTGATAGAGTTTTCAAAAGAACACCAGTTTAAAGTAAAGCCCACCTAATTAAGATTTTGGCTTCATTAGATGCCATATTGATGTATGACATTTTAAAGCATGACTAAATGTTACAGAGAAAGTAGAACTGGTTGACAGCTACAATTAGTGTTTGTCTAGAGATTCACTTTCATATTTCTGTAAAATGTAGAGGGATGCACGTTTGTTTGATTACCAAAAACCACTTGGACTCTTCTTTAGTGTAGCAGCAGTCCCTGTGTTTCGCTTCTGTGACGTAATCAAACAAGCAACAGACGGGGCCTGCTTAGGGTACACTGTACAGTCTGCACAGGCCTGTCCCTTTTCAAGCCCAATGAAAATGCAGCATACTGTTAGCCACAGTCGCTGCATAATGAACTCTATCTGTTGTTCCTCCAGAGCCTCCCTCTGATGGGCCACCTTACAGTTTCCCTTTCGATTCCGGGTTTCTACATCACAACTAATCTGAACAGAAATTAAAACCCCTCCGTCTGCAGTATGTTGTGACAGTGGACGAGGAGAGACTGAGAAACACACAGCTGACTGGTGAGATAAAAAAAGTCTTCACAATTCATTCAAGATATTGACTTTCCTGTCTCTCATTGTAACTGCACTACCCTAGGAATACTTTTTGATGTTTCTGATTTAAGTTTGACAGTGGGTAATATTTTGAAAGTATGACGTATTGTTTAAGTCTTTTCTAAATTATAAAAACAATGTGTCTTTCTGCTGTGTTGTCAAAAAGGAGAAAGGTGCAGAATGGCACATATTGAACTGTATGGGTACCAGGAGGAAGTTGTTGAAAGGGCTCTCCAGGGGGAGAACATAATCATCTGGCTTCCAACCGGAGGTGGGAAGACTCGTGCTGCTGTGTATGTGGCCAAGAAACATCTGGAGACCAAGCCGAAGGCTAAAGTCTTGGTCCTGGCAAACAAGGTAGACACAGAGCACATAAACAGACAGATTAGGCAAAGTGCAAAGTCTGTTTTGCTTTATTGTTTGTTGTTAATGACTTTAACTGTACAGGTTCACCTTGTAGACCAGCATTATAAAAAGGAGTTCAAGCCTCACCTGGGCAGTGGCTACACTCTGGTGCCAGTCAGTGGAGAGAGTCAGGAGAAGGACTTCTTCGGAAAAGTGGTGGCGAGATCAGACGTGGTCATCTGTACAGCCCAGATTTTGTACAATGCTTTGATAAACATGGAAGAAACCAAACATGTTGAGCTCTCAGGTCAGTGAAAGGGGGCTCAAACATGCTGAATCATGATTTGTTTTCTAGTTGCCCTAAAATGAACTTAAACCTTTGATGCATTCATGGTCCTTTACAGATATCACTCTACTGATAATCGATGAGTGTCACCACACCAACAGTGATCATGTCTACAACCAGATCATGGCATGCTATGTGGAGAAAAAACTGAAAGGAGAGCAACAGTTACCACAGATCCTCGGTCTCACTGCATCACCGGGGACAGGGGGTGAAAAGATCCTGTACAGAGCTGTGGATCATGTGCTGCAGGTCAGGGTTTAATAATTCACCTTCAGATAATCATTTTTCATTACTGAGCTGTGTCTGCTCGATTATGGCAAAAATCATTATAACGATTATTTTGATTGATATTGAGATCCCGATTTTTAAAACACTATTACTCATTGATTTTACAACATCTGGATCGCTTGCATTTATTGAACTTGAACATTTTAACACTTGAATTCTGAACACTTTGAAAATAAAAATAATAATCTATAATAAGATTGAGAAGTAGAAAGAAAGAAAATGACTGAACTATGCTTTTGATATAGTGGTGATGAACTATTGTGGCCAAAATATAACAACAAACACTTGTAATTGATATTTAAACTCATTTAATTTGCCTGCCCCAATATGAGTCATCCTGTCTGATCTTCCTCAAGTCTCTTTCTCCACTTCATTTACATCTTTCTCTCCCCCCTCTCAGATTTGTGCAAATCTTGACTCAGCCATAGTCTCAACTAAAGACTGTATGCCTGAGCTGAAGAAGAAAGTGCCCCGGCCAGTAAAGAGATTCAACATTGTGGACAAAAGGCCTGAGGTAAGATGTTTTTCTTCTTAAACCAACTATCTGAAACATTTCTTCAGACAAGCTGTCGGAGACAGTAAGTGAAACCTGAAGTACTCGTACTAAGACCTAACATTTCTCTTACAGGATCCATTCGGGGATCATCTGAAGATGATGATGCAGCAAATCCATGAGTTCATGATCATCCCTCAAGACTTCCCACTGAGACAATGTGGCACACAAGAGTATGAGATGGATGTGGTGCTGCTAGAGCAACGAGGTCAGAACACACTTTACATTTATGATGTAAAGCTAATTAGCATGTTCCTTAAGAGGGAAAAGAAGGTGTGTGGATGCAAACACGTGATTTGTTTGTTTTGTTTAGGAGTGAAAGACAACAACAGAATGTTAGCAAGATGTGCGCTCCACCTCAGACAGTACAACGACGCCCTGCTCATCAATGACACCCTAAGAATGATCGATGCATATCGCTCTCTGGAGAGGTTCTACATCCCCAAGATGGACACAGCTTTTGACGGAACAGACATCTTCCTGCTGGGACTTTTCCAAGGTAGAAATAAATACTATTTTTATTTGTATGTTTGGCCTCAGGAGTATTAATTATATTAACGCGATGCTTTAACTTTTTACTATGCATGCAATAATTACTAAAACTACCACTACAGAGAATCAGGTGGAGCTGAGGAAACTGGCAAACAATCCCGTCTACGAGAACCCGAGGATGTCCAAACTTGAGGGCGTCCTGCTAAAACGCTTTGATCCAAGTTTGCAATCAAAAGGGATCATCTTCAGTAAAACCCGTCAGAGCACGTGCTGCCTGAATGACTGGGTATCCACCAATCAAACCTTAAAGCAAGCTGGCATCAAGGCAGCCATCCTCACGGGGGCCGGCAACAGCGCCAGCCACATGACACTGGTGTGTTGCTACATTTGTCTAACATATTAGCTACAAAGCATCCCCACTCAGATACTATGCACTTATCTATCGGTGTGCTTCTGTTCCTATGACTTAGTCCTTTTATGCTTTTATTTTCTTGCAGAATGAGCAGGAAGACACGATCCGCAATTTCCGTGACGGTAAACTCAACCTCCTGATCTCCACCAGCGTCGCTGAAGAAGGCCTCGACATCCCCGAGTGCAACCTGGTGGTCCGCTACGGGCTGCTCACGAATGAGATCGCTCAGCAGCAGGCCAGCGGAAGAGCCCGAGCGAGAGACAGCCAGTACTCAGTGGTTGCCGAGGAAGGAGGGCCAGAAATGCGCCGAGAGAAAACCAATGAATGTCTGGAAGAGCTGACTGGACAAGCCATCGCTAAGGTCCAAGAGATGAACGTTGAAGACTTTCGCAGAAAGGTGAGAGTGTGGTCCCTCTTTGATTCTTCAACCTTTACTCTCACTTCCTGAAGTTTCAACTTTATTTCTTCTTTGTTTCCAGATAACTAAGCTACAAAAGAAGGCAGTGGATGAAAGAAAAATACAAGAGAGACTAAAAAAGGAAAAGAGGAGCCGCATCGCTGCCTCTGATGTCCAGCTTTTATGCCGGAACTGTTTAAAGCCTGTGACTTCCGGCAGTGACATTAAAATCATTGACAATGTACACTATGTCAATGTCAGTCCTGAATTTAAGTGAGTTTAAACTCTTGTATGGTAGAAAAGTATCTTGAAGATATTACAAAATGTTTCTTTAGCTAATGATGGCTAATCTCTGCTCCAGGAATTACTACAAGGTCGGTGAACAGGTGATGCTGGAAAAGACCTTTGAGGACTGGGAGCCTGGGCACATCATCAGCTGCAACAGCTGCAGCGAGGTAAAATGAGCCACCAGCCAAATATTTATTTAAACCCCGAGGGAGGCAGTTAACAAAAATAGCTGTTTTAATGCTGTTGATGCTCATATTGGGGGCCCTGGTTTCATTTTTTTTTTCTTTGAATTTACAGCGCTGGGGATATGAGATGAATTACAAGAAATTCGGCCTGCTGCCCAATGTAGCCATCAAGCACTTTGCCCTGAAGACCCCTGAAGGCCAGACACTCAAGAAGAAGTGGAAGGATGTCCCTTTCACTGTTGAGGAATTCAGCTTCAAAGAATATTACGAGGAGAACCTCTCAGACCTCTCTGATTAGGTTTTATTGATCATTACTTGATTACTATGTTATTATGTCTCTTTACTGTTTTTTTTTTCTTCAGAATATCTCATTGTCCTTTCTAATATTAACACTTGCTGGCTAACATGTTAGCATTAAATTGTGCTGCTGGGCCGGGGCAGGAGCGTGATAAACTAATTATGCATCGTTCATGCTTGATATTAGCATGACAGATTTGTTTACACCCGAGGTTCTAAGACCTTTTGCATAACTTTGAATTTCTTCTCATTCATGTTAAGTCGAACATAGAAACAAAGCACATGAACTCTGCTGTTACATAACCCCTGAACCCAAACTTGTCATGTCCTCACATAGGAGGATTCACACTGATCCGTCTTTTAACTACACACACATGTATAGCGGGTATCTATTAAGAATTAGAAATAATGAACAATATTTTATATGTACCCATCAACATCTTCAAATTAATTTTAAATATACGTCATTGTATTTACATCCTCTAGGAAAGACTTTCAGGTTTTCATTTGCTCTTATTAACCACTAGGTGTCAGTGTTGTATTGCAAATCCAGTCAGGCACATTTGTTTTCTATCTTTGTCACTTCTATTGACTCTTCTTCTCCAACTGATGGCAAAGATAAGAGAAGTGATCTGATATCATACTATAAGAATAAGGGTGTGGGTTTTTTTTCCAAACTTGCCATATATTCTGCCGATGTGCCCGTGAGCAAGGCACTCTGTTCCCAAGCTGCCTCATTACAGCCTCTCTTTTGGGGCCTGTTTGTGATGATTGGATACAGCCTCCAGATGTGCAAACATGACACCTGGAAAATAAAAATGTATACTTTTTTCAGAGATTATTAATGGAATAAACAGCAGTCTCTTTTTCATGGAACATTGTTTTATTTTTTTTCTGGAAGAAAGTTGTAAACAAACCACAATATACACAGCTTACTGTGCTGCTTCTGCGTCACTGGATCAATACACGGTTGTGCATATCAGCTTGGATTATTCAACACAAAGCGATCTAAATAGATTCACTATTTATTGTACGTGCAAATAATCCTTTCACACCCTGGATCTGAAAATAAGTGCTATTGCATAATAACATCACTGTTCCACTGTATCCTTACAGCTTGATTTTTAGCAATACCCCACAGGACAGATTTAGAAAGCTAATCACAGAAACTGCCTTCACTGACAACACTTACAGTTTCATTTTGCTGCTGTTTGCTTACGTTAATTTAACAGCGTATACAGCAGCACAGCTTTAATTATAATGAGCAGCTTCCAAAACAAACCCAGATGATAAATCTAAATCAACTGGAAGTCCTTAATTTTAGGCTGGCAGCTGTATGGGGGTGTACTCACTATTGAACCGCAACACATCTTTGTGGGATTCTCAAGGCAGAAACATGATGAGGTTTGGCTCACTGCGTCACATGTGCCGTAATCCTTTTCGAATCTGGCAGAGAGCTGGAGCCAGTGGTGCAGCCGTGGACATAATCACACTAAAAACAGGCACGGTTCGGGTGTCATGCCTGCCTCACATTCAGCCGTACAGTGTATGATTTACTCTGATCTGGCGCAGGCGCTATAATCAACACCGATTACTTCCTTTTACTACCCAGCTCTACACCTCATGCTTCTTAATTGCAATTAGCTCTCTTCTGACATCAAATCTGCTTGGAGTAGTTGCACAAAGGATAACAAGGTGTAATGAGTGTCAGTGTGTGTAGGTGTGTTTGTTTGAATTTAGAAAATGCTACTCACATTTACAATAGATTTTGTGTCACTGGTATCGAGGACCTACACATTTGTCAACTAAAATGTATATAACTATATATTTAATGTTACATCTTAGATTGGTAAGATGTCATAAAGGATCTTTGACGTTACAGACCCATAATTTTAAATATTAGTAACATACCACATCATTTAATCAAGACGATCAATTCTTACATTATATTTTTCGATTCTTGTGTATTTATTCAACATTTATGGATGATTTGACAATAGCAATAAGGAAACCTCTTTCTTCCCAGGCAAGTTAAACGAAAGCTATGAAAAAGAACACAAATTACTGCTGAAATATCAGTCAATAAATGGACTAGTTAATTCAAATATTTGAATTGAATTTTTCAGCAAAAAGGCCAAAGCACAGCCGGTTCTTGCATCTAGACTGAAGCTATGTTCCCCCATTTTTGTTAGGTTTAACAGTTAATTTATAATCGTTGGGTTTGGGCCATAGACTGTCATAGACTGTAAGGTTTGGGCCTGTTGGTTAGAAAACAGGACAGGATAACTAATGTCACATGATCTTTTGGAAATAAGAATGGGCACATTCACCATTTTTTTTTACATTTCGCAAACAAATGAATTTAAAAAACATTTTTTATTATTATTTCTCTTTGCTCTCATTAAAATCTAGTTGAGTGTTATCTTAATTTGTGTTTGACAGGTAATGAGCTTATTGGTAAGGGGACCCGGCGACCTGGAAGTATTTAAGGATGCAAGGAAGGCCCACTTCAGCCACCTGTAAAGCACAGTACGTACAGGTGGCATTGTAACTAGACTATGGTGAAAATGCGTCACATTGTGGGAGACAATAATGAAGCTCTTACCAGGTGAGTGTTTCTTGATAAAACTTGAATTGGCGGACGTTAATGAGGCTGTTTGGTTGATTAATTTAATAGCTAATTTCTCTTTAAAAACTACAAATGTGAGTCGAAAACTTAACCTTGTTTCACTCATGGCGATGGTTTCCAACAGTCCGGCGCAGGCAGGTGGTCTCTTGTGCTCCAGGTGTTTTTTTTTTTAGCGGTCAGCCGTCTGAACTGTTTTAAAATGCTGTGTTGTCCATTGAGTGCTGTTTATCACCCTTTAAAAGCTTCCTGCTGTAAGGAAACCTGAATTAAAAAAAAAAAAAAAAACGCAATCTGGGTGCCTAAATCCAGAGATATGACATAAAACATTATGATTGGTTCTACGTTTTGTCCCAGAATGCATCACTTTAGACTATTTACAGTCTATGTGTCTAGCACAGGTTAAAAACAACTTTTGAAAAACTGTGTTGCTCACAAAATCTACGTCTTCATGAAAAATATCTAGGCTACTTGGAATTGTAGGCTATTAAACAAATCTAAATAGAGAGATATATATATTTGGGTTAAATATAGGTATTTACGTGTTGTAATAAATATATTGACATAATGCTGCAAGACAACAACACTCAAACATTTATCAAATTCAACACTTTTTTTTTTCATGTAGCCTAGTGATAATATTGCTGTTTGTATTAATTATTTAATCGTTTCGACCTGTGGTTGATGCTTGAGGACTGAAGCCTCTGCATGTCAGACACAGCTAAACCAGCACCACTGGTGGTTTTATTTTGTGTTGGTTGATCCTCAACCTCCAGTTTTTCCCCCCCCCCACATCATCAAGAGGCTAACTTATACAGAAATAGAGGTCTTCTTAAGATGACTTTTAAACCTGAGAGGAAGTGGCCATCAGATTGTCTGACTCAAATTAAACTGATTTATTTAATTCAGAGGCAAAAGATCATGCAGCTAACTTGCTCTTTTCCAATAAGGAAGAGATGCGAGAGCTCAGTGCATTAAGTTGAGTTTTGTCACAACATGAATAGAGGTGGACTACAAAGTCCATCACCAGGTTACATTTCTTGCGACGGACAGAAGTCACACCACTTAGGTCAACGTCAGCCATACCACACATGAAGTAACACATGCACTCACGCGCTCGCTCACACACAGAGACACGGCTGCTTTCACATGACACAGACGTTGACAATGACCGATATGTTTAACTGAAGCGCAGGCTGGTCTGGAGGACGGGCACTTCCTATGTGACGGCTTCACTTGTCGGGCAACTGTGTGTCTGTCCGAGGGCTTGCTGTGCTGCTTGTCAGGCTCCTTGTCAAGATTTCACTTGACTCTATTCTCATGGAAGCCGCAGTGGATCAGGGGACTCACAGTGACGATATGATGACATTTTCCTACCATATGTATATTCATGTCTTTATCACCTTTGAATTATTTGTGGTTCCAAGTGGGGATCAGATGCCTCCTCGCTTGTGTGGATGTACAGTGTTACTTTGTTTGGAAACTTCAAATCAGGTCAATTGTGTATTTGGGGCCAGGGCTGGCCCATGGCATAGGCAGTATAGACAAATCTGTCTGCCCCAATATGTCACCCAAAAATGAGTGAGGAAGAACGTGTGTTTAACAGTTACTTAATGTTATCTTATCTGCATCACCTATTTAAAAAGGCCCTATTTTCGTGCTCCCTGCTCATCACTTGCTTTTTAAGGGGGAGGGCAGACGACTTCTCAGAAGTGACTGACACTGATCTTACCGATAAAAATCAGGTTTTAATAATAAAAGAAAAGCTGTAAAACATAAAGCTGTATACCAGTTTATGAGTATGAATATTGAATCAGAAATACTTTATTAAATCCCAGAAGGAAATTCGTTTGGGGCAATGTAAAAGCTGCTATTATACAGGAAGTGTGCATCTTCGTTTTTGAGCTCCTCATTTGGCTGAGGATGTTGATCTGGAAAGTTACCCTACCTATTTCATGCAATACAACAGAGCCGATAAAAGAGAAAGAAAACTTGTCTTCCTGTCTGCCACTTTGTGACGTGGCCTCTCTCTTCTCCTCACTGTGTTCTCCCTTTCCCCGGCCTTCTTTCTGACAGAGCTGCCAGTAAGATTTACAGAACAAACAGACAAGGAAATCCCAATAATGTCTTCATCAGGATCTTTGACACCCTCCTTTGCGGGTAAAATAATTCACTTTAAAAAACCGAACACAAGTGCAGCGAAGTACTAAATGTAGTGCCTCAGATATTGACTGTCCTTCTCCCGCTGTCTCTGCCACTGACTGCAGGTTGTGTAGCTCTAATCCCTGTTATTAATCCGTGTTCAGGCAGTTTGAGTCATTCAGGCTGCTCGGGATTATTGGAGCCTTGACAGGGCACAGATTTTTTTTATTTACTCTTCCTTACACTGATTACTGGATGATTGAGTTCAGCTATGTTTGCATGTATATGTGACGGATGTGAGGATTAACTGAATGAATCCTTTTTACCCTGACCAACAATGTGGTGGTGAAACCATAAGTCAGAAAAAACATTTGGATCTATTACTGAGGGTGACGGAAAGACTGTGTGCACTTTCTAAATGTCTTATTTGTAGATTAAAAGCTAATCAGTACAGAAGTTCTAAATGTTAGAATTTAGTACTCAGCTGATCAGGAATGCCTTGTCAGCAAAGACTGTATTTATATAATGATCTTGATATTACTAAAGTCCTTTTCTACCCATAAATTAACATCTTATCTTATCACATTCAAAGCAGGCTTTGATATCAAAAGAAACCATACACATAACAGATGACACCGAGCTGAGTGCTTTAAACACATACACGTCCAAAACAGTCAACATCTGACTGTCTCTTAAACCGCTTTTTGTCATTCTGCCAGTAAAAATGACAGCAGATAGTTTCCCTTATATCAGACAAGTTTCACCAAGTATAATAATCTACTATTATTTTACTTAATGGTTAAATGATTTGATTAATCAAAAATAAAATAACTTAAAATATATACAGTGTCTTCCTTTCTTTCTTTTATACTGATGCAAATTGAATGTATTTTCAATGTTTTGAACTGACATTTAGAAAGGGAAGTATAATCAATAGAAGAAATGGGCTAAACATTACTTTGGGTTTTCAAAAGTTCTGATGGTTCTGGTCTGGTCACCATTTCACTTTTCTTGGATCAATGCACTCTTGCTGTCAAACACGGTGTCTCGATGTGATGATGGACGAGTGCTAACTGATGTGCAAACTGTTGGTTTGTATTTAGTGATT